ATTATTATGTTTTGGATGTTGATATACTGTAATATATGTGTACTTATTCATAATATAGTTTTGAGTAACAATCCTTTTATGACAATATATGTAGTCGGTCTTATTCTAGATACAAAATACCAAAACAAAACAGAAAGCTAAATATCATATCATAGAACATTTGTTATTATATCTCATTGTCTTAAATTTAGTTAAGCAATGCACAAATATACATACATAATATAATATCATAATATATACTAATTACCAATTTTAATTTGCCAAACGGCATCCATAATACCTCTTGTATATATAGTTGCCCAAATATTATCTTGATAAGAAAAAGAAATAACATCAAGAACAACACCATTGAGTACACTAGGATAACTATTTCGTCATTAGTGCTGTCTCATCCCATACTTAAAGGTAGGGTAGTAACAAAAGTTTTCTAAGCTCGATTTAATGTCCAATGAGCAGCAAGATAAATACAACATATCATTCGATTGATCCATCTCAACATATGCATGCAGTTGATCAAAGCATTAATTTGCAATTTGTCACCACTGTTTACAACTTCCTTGATTCTTCAGAGATAAAGCACAAATGGTCTTCAGGAGTAGCATAGGCAAACAAGAACTTTGACGTACGTAGGGTGAGCTAATACATATGTCTTTATTATATGTAACTTTTTCTTTGATATTTATATTTTTCTTTTTAAATTTATTTCGTATAATGTAGAATGTAATTATAATGTGTATACAGATCTCAAGAAACTATCTGGATATGATAGTTTCTGCTAATGGTTGGTAAACGTGTAAAAAAAAACGTTTTTGGGTATTAACTCGAAAAATCCTTTATACTTTTCAGATTGCTATGTGATGCATTTCACAGGATGGGAGGCAAGTCATCGGTATGTACATGTAGCATGTCTAGATTACCATTGGTACTGACTGTTACAGACAGCTCTAAATTATGGAACCTATACAAATATAAGAACATTATGTAGCAAGGAGTAAACCATGAAATTTATATTTATTTTTATATTTATTGTTTAGTTTGTTTTTAATATCATCCTTCAAACACTATTACTTTGAACTGTTGTCTCTATTGCGATCTGTCTCTGCAGTGTTTGATATAATACTAATTAACGTTTATATAATTCTTTCCTTGCTTTCGGACGATTTTAACATTGACTAAAGCTCTTAATTAATATAAAATAATATTAGGGGTGAAACAATACACCCATGCCTCGTATCTATACGATTTTCAGTGCACTCCCTGCGATATGAAACAAATCGATACATTTATGAACTTGGTAGTTCCATCTTTAGAAGGTAGGTGGTGCAACTTTATGCATGTTGGCAGACTGTTGGTATTTCTAGTATTCATATTACAGAAAGATATATAGATATAAATGTTTATGCAATTCTTATATGTGAATGTATGTTAATGTGTGACTCTCCTTCGTCTTGTGCTATATTTTTAAAGCTGTACTGAAACCAAAATATTCAAAGATTGCACCTCTACTAGCATAATTATTAATTTGTTAAGTATTTCTGAGTACATTTTGTTCCTTTTTTGTGTATGAATATTGTTTTATGCTTCCTTCTGAAGGGGCACATGCATAGCTAGTTTTGTCAGATTAAAGATGTTGAGGAACCGATCTTTGTGGCTGTTATATGAAATTTTCTAGAGCTCACATATATTATGATTTGGATACACCTGCTCCAAAGTAAATGTTTTCACTAACATTAACTTACTTTCTTAAATCAATAGTTTACTGACTAACATGCGATATCTTTGTATCTCTTCCATTATGTTCTATTAGGGATTCTAGTCAATCAATGCCATAATCTTGTGCATACAGAGACAGTTAAATAAATTTCTTTACTTCTTAGTTACATGCTTTTATAATGTTTATTCAGTTTATATTCACTCTGATATGGATGTATGGTTTTGTAGCATTTGATACGAATGGCTATATTGATTATTATAAATGCTAATTGTATTCTGCTTGTAAACTGTCTATATTTTAAATATGCCGCCTTTTCTGTCCTTCCTACATTTAATTTCGAAATAACACTGAATGGATACTGAATGAGATGACTTTTATTTCTAATGTCTAACATGTACGTCTGACTTGTATGTAACTAAGTTCCCTGTGATATAGTCCTTTATAAAAGGAATTCAAGGTGATATTCTTGCCTTGTTGGGATGCGGCTTCTATGCGCGAATCAGAAATGTTAACATGAAAATGTCATTATTAGCAATATACCTAGATATTCTATCCTGACAGGGATTAATACTACAATTTTTAAGTGTTCTGAAGGATTACGCAGTAGGTCAAAGCAAGAAGGATTTTACTTACTATCCGCATAACAAGGTCAGTCTAAAGAAATAAATTAATTACTATGTAGCGTCTGATATATCAGAAATGATTGGAGGCTGAAAAAGCATAAACATTGAAGAAAGCGGAGATCTACATTTGGTCTACTTGAATCCTTGCATGTCGCATGTCCTGCCTTTAAATTGTAATGCGTCTTATTTAAAAGTGCCTGAAACTACTATTAAATTCGCCAGGGAATGCGTTCAACTTTATCAACTTAATTAATTCATGATTTGAACAATTTATGCAAACTTCCCTAATTATCAGCCTCCATTGCAAATAGCATGCAGGATTTATCTGTTTCCGGCAGTACGTCCATGGTTCTTGTCCCTGAAATAATTGTCACATTGCATAAGATTCGTATGCAAGAACAGATGGTTCTGACCTGCCAATCAAGCTGCACATGACGAATAAAAAATAGGAATCAATGTCACTACCTAGCTACGCTTTGCTGTCCTCACATTTGCTCACAAACATAGGACTGCACTTGATTACTTTCTTATTAGATTGCAGACGAATTTTAAAGATTGCATAGTAAATCAGGACATATTTACTTTTGTAGTTGAGTTACATGTGAAGCAGATTGTAATTAGTATGAGCGGATTCAAAGAGGATTTCCTATCTGTTTATCTGAAAACAGATTCCAACTAGGAAAACATGTTTATTTTTTTAAGTGATCATTATTTATTTAATGTCATGTATAATTACATAGAACTGTTTTTAAATAGTGATAATATTTGTTGAATCTGTGCTAAGTGTATGCTTTTGTTTGATTTGTATCACATATTTGGGACATCATGTTGCATGAAATAAAGATAATATTTTTTATATTTTATTTACATTTATCTTTATACCTTGGATATTTTAGAATTTAAATTTGGAATTTTTTTAAGTTTGCATCATGCTTCATTGGTGCTCATGGTATTTTTTGTTTAACTGAGCATTTACTTGTCACCTGGCGTCAAGTTCACAAAGCACTTTAAATTCTTGATTGCCCCTAACGATACAAACTGTTATGCACTTCGCACTGCACTGGTTTTAAAACTGGCTAAGGAATTCATTTGTCTTCATGATAAGTAAGAATAATGTATCATTCGTTACAGTGATAATAACCGATTTACTAAATCTGAAGTCTATCAATGATTTAATAACTCTTTTCTGAAACTAACGAAATTTAGGAGCTAAACTGGAACTAAAGCATGTGCGCATTTTAAATGGCAAAGTACAGATGCAAATGCATATTTACATTATACATACTACTCCATAAAATATATTTATCGGTTATTTGTAATTCTAATGACATCTAAACTAATTGTTTTCCTTCCTGGAATATCTTTCATAAATTAAAAGAAAGTCCATCATGAAGATATAGAGACAGGACAGTTGGGTCCGCAAGGAATGCCAGTCACAGTAGTAATACAGCCTTCAGAGGTATAAATGATTTCATTACTTTACCATTTTCTTACTAAGGTCTGACATTCTGTAAACATAAAGAAAATGTTGCAAAAAATGAAACTTATATCGTGCATATTATTTTCCTAAAAGGTTCATGAATATAAATTATATATATATATATATATATATATATATATATATATATATATATATATATATATATATATATATATATATATATATATATAAAGAGAGAGAGAGAAAGAGAGAGAGAGATACATATATCTGTATGTGTGTGCCTTGTGCCAGGATAATGTTTTAGGGTGGTACATCATGTTACATGTATGCGGCATGATGTCCCAATGCTAGACATTATAAACTGTCGCTGCATATACCGTAACTATATGACTGAAAAATTATTAGACCTACGTTCAGAAAAATCCAAAACACAAAAACACTGTGTTGTACCATACAATACCTTACCGCTACCGTACCGTACCGTACCGTATCATACCATACCATACCATGCCATAACATACCATCCCATCCCATCCCATTCCATTCCATCCCATACCATACCATGCCATGCCATGCCATGCCATACCATACCATACCATACCATACCATACCATACCATACCATACCATACCATACCATACCATACCATACCAAACCATACCATACCATACCATACCATACCATACCATACCATACCATACCATACCATACCATACCATATTAAAATATACTATACTATGAACTAATATTTGTTGACAATTTCTTCACTATCTTTCCTAATTTACAATACTTCTAAAATATTCACAAATAATCGAAATATAAGTCAATTGCATGAAAGCAATTTTATGTAAAGTTGAATTATCTTGCTACGTATCTTCGAAAGAAATGTGCTTTTCGAGATGAAACAGTATCAACATTATTTTCTTTCCGGAAGATGTTTGTTTTTTAATATTAACTCTACCAAGCATAACAACAAACTATCACATTATGTTTGTTTCAAATATGCTCTTTTCACGCTATTTGTATAGCAAAATCATTAACGCAACTAAGGAATCTTACGATGTCCTTCCAACTTACGACTTCATGTTATAAACATGACTATGCGGAAAATAGTTTAGCTGGATAATTAATGACGTTTAAAAAATAAATCATTTTCACATACATATAGTTTACAATTAATAATGATTTGTTATTTTTATGTTACTCAAACTATACATCATTGGACCAGTCCGGTGGCCTAGTGGTTAGAGCATTCTTCTTGCATGCGAAAGGTCGTGGGTTCGAACCCCGGTCGAGTCATACCAAAGACTTTATAAAATAGTACTAACAGCTACCTCGCTTGGCGCTCAGCATTATGAGGTTAGTGTTAGGACTGGTCGGCCTGGTGTCAGGATAAAGTGACTGGGTGGGACATCATGCTACATGTCTGTGGCAAGATGCTCCAGTGCTAGATATCAATATAAACTGTCACACGGCAGACATTGTAGCGAAATGACTGAAAAACTGTTAAAGTTGCATTACAATTCCAAATCACATCACACACACAATCTTGATTTATTAGTTCAGCAGTGATTATGAAGGAACTTTAAAGACCAACAATTTTCATCTGGCTATTATAAAACCTTCCAGTGAGCAAAAATCTTTAGGACGATGAAAGGTGCCAAACAATGTATAATAAATTTGACAGAAAAAAGATATCCAATGTGTGTATTTCCCACGAGGAGAAAACATTCTTAAAGATCTTATATATGTTCGGCAGTACAGCCAAACAATATCTGCGAGGTCATAAAGTCTTTCAGATACCTTATATAACTATTATATAAACCAATTTTAATGTAGAAAAGAAACAATATATCATGATTGCAATCAACAATCAAATGGATGTCAAATATAAATATGTAATTTATATTTCAATGCGTAGGATAAACACTGTTTAATATCACGCTGAAGCCATCAATTTCAGCGACAAAAGACATAATCACGATAATTACGTGCGCAACAAAAATGAATGCAAAATACACAAACTACCACAACTCGATTTGACATCAATATCTTGCTGGGGTATGTGCCAGTGGTCGAGTAGGCACGGGCTTCGGGAATGGGTTTGTATTTAACAGATCATATGGCAAAACAGGTCCTTTCAAGTGCACTGGCTTTAGCAATGAATCGCGCGTGTCAGAGATTGGTTAAGATAAATGCTATGAAGCTATAACGAACAGTGCAAAATTAGTATTTAATTGGCCTGAGCGCTTTCAAGTCTTAAAATAATAAGTTATGTCAAAGACAAATAGGTAACGTAGACAAGACAAATAAACAAAATACAAAAACTGTATTGTTTGGAAAATTTTACTTGGCTGTTTTACAGGAATTAAAACTTTAAATATGTTATGTTTCAACTAGTTTGTTTTAAAGTGGTGAGGATTCCTGAAAACACCTTTATTGACCTAGAAATCGACGATCCATAGCGATATATGTTGTTTTTATATAATTTTATGTAAGCGCAAATTAGATCCTGGATATATTTTTGCTATATTAGTAATTAAAGCATATTAAGCAAATTTAGATAATTATTTAAAAGACAATAGGTCGGCTGAAAAAAAAAACAAATAGTTTAATTTGTGCATGGTTGTCTTTTTCTAGTATTTTTGGCAGAATCGCTTGGTTTCAATGTCCTAAGGCGACGTATAAAGTAAGATTCCTTTCGATTCCTGATTTTGGAATCATTTTCTTTATCATCCAATCTGATCTATGATGGTTGATCCTTCTGTATAGCCTTTCTTTTTCCCCGACATACTAAAGGCTACTGATCGTACATGTGATATGATAACATACATTCATTGCTTTTCCCGTTTTGTTTGGACCATGTATGTTCCGTATTTCTCTAATAATTGTGCTATAAAGTGTCCTGGTCTCTATATGTTGACAGGTTTAGCACATTTAATCGCCATAGAGACTAGATTGATTAGGGTGGTCTTGATTGGTGATTGGCGTTAGCTTCACCCTGACTAGGATGTCAATGAGGTTTTATAGCCTCTGTTAGGCTACTACAGGTTTGTTTGGGAGTATTAACTTTAGTGCATGACGACAATTACACAACGTGCTAGTGTTACCCGGTGATTTTACCTACTTTCGGTGTGTGTGGATACTAGATTAGGATAAATGGTACCATATCAGCCGTTTTCTTCTTTCCATATTTTAGCAGTTCATCTCTGTTTATTTAGCCGTGTTGGTTGCCTCCGCAATCAGGTCTTTGTCATGGTCTCTGTAAGTTAAATGTTTAGATAGCTCACCTGACTATTTTAGGAATATTTTATCGTCGGAGCAAATTCTGCGTATCATAATGGCGTGTCTATAAGGGATATTCCCAATGTAGTGTTTTGAATGACATCTGGTAGGGAGGAGATACTGGTGCGTGTCGGTTGGTTTCGAGTAAATGTCAGTATGGAGTTTGTTTTAAATTATTATTTGTTTTGCAGTAGATAATGTTTTAAAAATAATTATCTAAATTTGCTTAATAATTTCAATGGCAATTAAATATCAGGATAAATTTGGCACTTCATAAGTTTATATAAAACAAGATATATCGCTATGAATTTTCGATTTCTATGTCGATACCGTGTTTTCAAGCTTACACAACGAGTTAAAATAAAATATTTGAAACATAAATTTAAAGGTTTAGTTAGTGTAGAATCAAAAAATCGAAACTCTATCTACGAGAGCGATAAGATCCATTACCTGGAGGCAAGCGCTGAAACCTATATCGATAGTACAAAAACAAGTCTGAGGAAATCCAACAATATGCTTATGTGTATAACACTAGACTGTTACTTTGATTAAGGGTGTATTTGGCTCATGCAGATCAAGATTCAACACTACTCACAGAAGATTCACCAACATCATCAAACATTTAGAAGGGGACAGACCAAGATGGAAGGAATACTTCAGCCAGCTGCTCAATCTCCCATCCACTGTTGATACATTCTAATGTTGCAACAAATCTATCCTAGACATGTTAGATAAGAGTTGGACTTGCCCAAGTTTTACAGGGAGATGTCAAAAGGACTGAACAGAGAATATGTGGAGGAACACCAAACGAATAAGCAATCCCTCTTGATATTGGAGTGGAGGTATTTGCAGCTTTAAATGATACCATCAACATGATCCTGGGCGAGGTCGAGATGGCTGCAAACCTACGAGACTGCGCCATCATCTAGTATATAAGAATAATGACGATAGAGGTGACGAGACCAACTACTGCTCTCCATTCCAGAGAAGAATGTTTCCCGAGCCATCATAAACAAACTGTTCCCAATTGTTTGTACCTCTGACAGGAGTAGGTACACATATCACAGTTTATGTATCTATACAATGTTCGTGGATCTCCCCAAGTCTTTAGACTCTATAAATAGAGACGTCCAGTGACCTGTATCTCTAGAAAGTCCATCACGCTTTTTCAGTTGTTCCATGACGATATGACAACAAGTCTTAAATCACTTTGACGTCTGCATCTGATTGAAGCAGGACTAAGTTTTCACTTCTGTGTAATTTAAACGTTCTGTAACCTAAGTCATGCTAAATATAATGTAGGACATTGAAGTCTGCATTGACCCATGCTTGTCTTGTGTCGGCTCTCTGCATGAACAACACACTTAAATGACTACTTCTCGATGGTTAGTTTGCAGACGAATGTGCAATGATGGTACACAAGGAAAATAAGGCATACAATAACAAATTGAATGTAAACTAAAAAGGTGCGAAATGCAACAAATCGGGTCAGATGTATAGGCAGTGGACTGGTCTACCCTGTACCCGCTCATCGCAAGGACTGCCTAAATAGTGTAGTATGACCACCTCCAAGGCCTCACAACCTCGAGAGATGAACGACACTTCGAACATCATAGTTTTTAACACCATTTTTGGATACAGATCCGAGTTCAGTAGCCACTAGCGTCAGCGGTATATATCGGTAGAAATATAAACGATCCTTACATTTTCCATGAACTGCAACGTTGTTACTACTAAATCAATTTTGCTCATTTGAAGGCAAATACATGTCTGTACTTTATTCATTTAATCCTTTATTAATCTTTGAACAAAGGCTAAAAGCAGTTTTTCTAATTATTTACTATCTGCAGCCCTTATAAAATAGGAACTTGATCCACTAGCTGATGACGTATATATAGCACTCAAGTATTCATTACTAACAGCTTATACAAATATTACAGCATACTAACAGCTTATACAAATATTACAGCAACATCAACAAGCGCAGAATGGGAATGGTTGCTGTATCGAATGGGAATGGTGGCAATGGCTAATATGTATACTGGTCATTCCTTTGACGTTGTTCATTTTCATCATCATAGTATTGGTAAAGTATTTCTTTGGGGTAAGACTTTATAATCGTTTATTATATATCAAGATATTCTCTCGATCAAGATTAAATTGTAATGTTTGCCTCAACCTTGATAAACACTTTTGACGACCACAATTAAAATCATCTACCAGGCAAATATGGACCTCATTAATCAATCATTACTCAGTTTAGGAAAAACGTCAACATTGAAACAATCACACTTCAAAAAGAATATCATGTACATTATGAGCAAGTGATTAATCCCACATCTTTAGAATCTGTAGTCATATCGATACTTTAGTTATCACCTTGTCGTTTCATAATATAATACCCAATTTACAATATCAACGATAGACCTGTCGGTAAGAAAACTGCATTCAAATATATTGTTTAACCCATACATCAACCGATTTAATGTTTTTGCGCAAAATGTATCCATGACATGCTATTGTGCATAATGCTATTGAAAGTGTTCCTTCCGACATTATACCTCTATGCATGTATGTATGTATGTATGTATGTATGTATGTATGTATGTATGTATGTATGTATGTATGTATGTATGTATGTATGTATGTATGTATGTATGTATGTATGTATGTATGTATGTATGTATGTATGTATGTATGTATGTATGTATGCATGCATGCATGCATGCAGGTAGGTTTGTAGGTACGTAGGTATGTAGGTATGTATATATGTATGTTTTCTGTATTTATGTAAGCATGCACGATCACATAAATGCCATGTTATATTAGAGTGAAATAAAACTAAAGATCACATTTTACTACAATAAATGCATTGTGTTGATTCTTCTCAGTTAATTTAGTTTTTTTATCTATTATATTATTGCTTTTTTCAGGTCGATCTTTCACCTGTTTTGGATTGTTGTACCCATCTATGTTTCTTGTCAGGAAAGTGTACAGAGTAATCTAGTCAGTAA